GGCTCTGGTACCAGGCTCATTCCAGGGAGTGTCACCTGTAAAACCTGGGAGGGATTCCTTGCCCTGTGCTCTGCATTGGTGCCATCAAGGGCACATCCCCAGCCTGACACCTTCCTGCTGGGACCTGCTGGGTGGGGAGTGTCACCCACCGCAGTGGCAGGACGGCTGCTCTGGCTGGTGTCACCCCAGTGTCTGCTTTTTCTGTGTCTCTGTGGTTTTGGGGAAGTGCTGCTAATATTCCTCTTGCCACCCCAGAATGCGTTCAGCATTTCTTATAATATTAGTGAGATAATACCACTGAAATATGTGGGTAAAGCTAAGTAAGATAGTGACCCTCAGCGTGGAAAAGAGATGAAACAAAGGACTTCAGTCACAAGGGTCATGGGGAGAGTGTGCAGGGCTTGGATCTGTGCCTTTTCTCAAACAAGAATAAACATCACATTAAGCCAAGAGGGACTGGGCAGACAAACAAAAGGGGATGCCTTGCTGGGGGTAAAACTGTGGAGCTTGCCAGGTTAAAGTGAGTTAGGGTGTAGGATGTTAAGGTTGCAAAAATTCCACATGTTTAAGGGAAAACTGGAGGTTTGTGGAACAGAAATCTACTGTGAGTTATTACAGGAGGGGAAAAAAATTGTTCGGAGTAACCTGAGTTTCAAATTGGACTTTAGGAGCAATTTCTGGAGAAGTATAATCTTACTGTTATTGGACTCCTACACTGATGTTTTTTAGTCTCAGTAAATACAGCTGTTCTTATGCTTTTCATTGTATTTGTATGATATATGAAATGTGCTTTTAAAATAGTACTCAGGGCATTTATTGTTCCATCAAGCTTTTTAGGTATAATGTGGTGAGTGCCTATAGAGGCCATACAGCTCAGAATTGACATTACAGCACAATTGTTTTATCCACTTACAAAAATAAAAAATACTAGCATTTTGTTTCCCTGTACAGCTTTATTTTCATGCATCTTTTATGTAGATTCAGGGCCCTTTGTGTTCCATACTGGACCTTAGATACATTTATCACCTATAACCTATCTTGCCTAATATTTTTAATTATTACTCAGTGATGAGTTGTTTCTGTATTTAGTGATTAGTCTGTATTCACAAAGAACAGGTCATTCAACAGTTTGTTCACACAAAGACTGTTCTTTAAAGGCTGATCACCACCCAGCCTGTGGTATCTTTCTAGAAACAATTTGTTTTTATTTTATGAAACTGTTTGAAATATCTTGAAACTAGATGCATAAATGTTTCATTAAACACTGTGTTCTTATGACATTCATTTACTACTCTAAATCCCATACCTATTTTAATGACTTTTTCTGTTTCAACAATATCAGAGAATGGGTATTGAGTTCAGTAAACAAGTCTTAAGACCTTAATAAGATGCATCAGAAAAAAATACCACAATTTTCTAGATTGATCCTGTACAATGAAGATTTATGTCATCTTTATATGCTAAGTTCAAGGTCATTTGCCTCAATGAAATATGTCCTTTTACCTTACTTCCATGCTAACAAAGGTAATCTCTACTGACTAATAACTGAAATGACATTGTGCTGAATAGAAAAATATGTTATTGCAGTTATAATATCAGAAACGGTTGTTTCCTGACTTTTCCTCTGACTTGTAGATTTGGGGCTCATTTATACTCCATTTATGTCACTTTGGCTACAGAGATTAGCTTCCAAAGGGAAGCAAAAGTAATTTTAAGGGCCATTTAAACCCAAAGTAGGACAGAGTATCTTCTGAATAAAGATCACACTGTTTATGTTTAAATAACTTAAATTCCATCAGCATCCTTAGTATAAGCAATTCAGAACAATATTTCTCCTATTGGTGTTTATACATGAAATCCTATTCCCCTAAGGGAATAGGCAGTAAAGTAGGTGTTAGAGTTGAGATTCTTTTTTTGTATTTTTTCTTGATTACATAATGCCATTTATTACTTTCACTCTTTATTTAGGCCAGACTGTACTTTCCTTATTTTTAACTTTTCAATTCCCTTTGTTCTTTTATGATATTTTTAAGAAACCTTCCTTTTGAAATTGAGCATATAACGTGATGTTTTAAAAAAAAAAAAGATCTGAAGGTCTCTGCCTTGGTCCCTTTCTTGCTCACTGCATACACTCATTATGTAACTTCATAAACCAGGGTCTTCTGAAGTTTATTTGCCTGAGTTTTGCCTAGAGAGGTATGTGCATTTCTAAGTGGCAGAGCTAAGATAGATCCCTTGCTTGCACCAGGGATCTGATCCTGGTCTGTCCTGGCCTGTCTCCTGGTTTTATGAAACATGTACTTCCCTCCCTTCACTTGCACCTGCTGAACTGCCTTCTCTGACAGCTTTTACACAAGTTCCCTTGACAGTTTTTACACAAGTTGTCTGGAGTCTTCCTCTCTGTCCCCCTGAAAACCCTTTCCATTTGTACTTTCCACTCCCTTCAACTGTTGCTAATGATTCTTTGACTCCAACTGTTACTGTGAGTGTTTCATGCTTTTTGGCATTTTCCAGCTGTATCAGCTCTGCCTGTGATCTGTCATCCTTTTATTCTTGTTTTTGTCTTTCTTGGCTTTTAATGACTTCATCCTCTCCCAACTGGAAATCCTCCTGCTTTGTCCAAGGATCCTGCTGGACTGTCTTGGTTTCTGTCCTGCCTTGGTTTCTTTCTTGTTCTCTTCCCACCTTCCTCCCGCTGTACCTCATCTGTGTATGGACCTGCTTCTGCTTGTGTTTTAGTTGTTGTGCTCTGAGTTGCTTCTCAGCTGAATCTGATACCTTCCCTAAAAACACTGCTCAGAGCTGCTTTGTTGTAATACCTACCAGGTTAGTTTAAATTATATGACTTATGGTCTGGGACAGGGGAGAGCACTTGAACAGGTTTGTCCTAGTCCCAGTCAAGAGCAATTGCAGCCCAGACTTCCAGCAAGGGGAGTCCCTGCCAGATCCTACCTGGGACTGTGTGTCTCCCCTCCTTGGTTCACTGTGAGTTCTTTATTGGGTGAAAATACACAATTAGTTTTGAAGGATGATTCTGAATTTTTGGTCACTGCTATGTGACTAAAAATCTTGTGATTTTTTGCTTTCTCTGCAAAGACATAGCTGTACTTTTTGTTTTCTCTCTTTTATCACAGGATACTCTGTTGGAAATTTTCCTCTTGCTCTACTTCAGAGTAGTTCTGACTTTTAAATTCATGCAGCTGTAATGACTCAGTCTATCACTCAGCACAGTGGAGCTGACTCCACTGTGGAAAGAAGTGTTTTAGGAAAAACATGTGACACAAAATTTTTTAAAAATATAATATTGTATATTATATAATATACATTGTATAATATATATAAATTGTATATTCCAATTTTTCTTTTTTGAAGTGGCAATCTTGGCCTTCAATTAGTGTATTTGAAAAGTACTTCAGTGTAGTAAAAAACAGAGAGAAGCACAGATATCTTTGAAGACATTTCTTCCTGTACATATCATAGTGTTTTCATGTGTGCACAAGAACATTTGTTGTTTGTTATTGTAATTGTTGTTCAGTGTCAACTCACCTCATGCAGATTATCATGTCAACACTTCCTGCTTTACCTGGGCAGGGTTTTATGTGCTGATTATTTGCTATCCAAGGCAGACCTTTTAAGCAAAATTTACTGGCTTTTTGTTTTTCCAGGTGAAATGCATGGTGTCACTATAATAAACTTCATTATTTATTATGTTTTAATATTACATTTTCAAGGATCTAATTCCACAATTGTATAGAAGCCTTGATTGTTTCAAACAGACTCTGTGTAGATGCAGGAGTCAAGAATGATGGAACCTTTTGGTGACCCAGGATCAATAGTTGCAAACCCGTGGAAAGCTCAGCACACGAAAGTGGAATATGTGTCTTTTGAGCCCCTCATGCCTGCATAATGCCCTGAGGCCTTGTTGATTCACTCATAATTTTGGAAAATTTAAATAGGTGTTTAAATTACGTGATCCTTCAGCAAATATTCATTTGGTTAAAAAAAATCATCAAAATTTCTTGTCTTGAAGAGAGGACAAAAGTATACTGGTATTGCACGTAGCTGTTGGTGTCTCACATTGAGATCCAAACTTCCACATGGAAGTTTGGAACCTTGCTTAGTTTTCTAGATATTAGAAAAGAAGGAGTGTTTTCTAGTCACTGCTATTGTCTTAGGAAATAAGATAATCGAAGTGTTCTAGTGGGACAGAAAAATTGGGATCTAGTCTTTATAATATATTGTTTAATAATTGTAGTTCATCTTTAAGCTGTGTTTGTGGCTCCATACAGAGACATGAAGCAGAAGAGTGGGAAATGCACATTCACAAGGGAAGTACCTCTTCTTCTCAGGAAAACTCTGTGGCATTTGTTCAAAGGCCAAGTGAATTAAAAAGTCCTATATAGACAAATAATTGTTTCCCTGAAAATATTTTTCTGCTCAGAAAAGAAAATGGCTTTAGCAATTAAGAGGAACATATGATTAAATTTGGTAATCTCAGTCTGGGTTTTACTGCACTCTGGAATTATCACTAATTTCCTTACACATTCCAGCTTGTTGCATTCAACATATTTTCATCTTAAAGTAAACACCATTGCTCTCCCTGGTGAATGACTCCAGTAATTACAAAACCACCTAATTGATCTTTTCTGTTGTTTACTGGCTTCTTTGGTGAAACAGACAAGCATTTTTTTATGACTTCTAAATTAGCTTATTATTTTTGGATTCTATAAGAAAAAAAAAAGCTGGTTTTCTACTTCAAAGGAATCTCATTTCAGCTGATGCTTCAAACTTCACCCTGCATGAATTCTTGTCTATAGATTTTTCAACTACCCTCTGGTTGCATATAAGTAGGTTGAGTTTCTGGGAGTTTTTTTCAATCTGTTATTTGTGTTTACAAATTACGTCTTCAGCATTGAAAGCTCTGCAGAAAATCAGGAAGTGTTGGTTTCTGCATACATCACATTTCTCCCTCCCTGTGTTTTTATTCTTTATTGCTCCAGTCAGTGTACTGAAGCATGGCAAGAGCTCCAACTCGGCAAACTTCCAAGATGTGGAGGATACGCCTGACAGATGTGTCTTGGAAGAGTCTGAGAGTCCAGGTGAGAGGCATTTAAAGACAGTCACCAAGTATCAAGTGATAAATCTGACACAGCTTTTGGGTCTGTTAAAAAAAGGCACATTGAAACGCTGTTTCCTTTTTAGCAGCTGCAATGTCAAATTAATGGTCACCTCCAGGGGTCACAGTGTGGAGCTGTTATCCTTTCCTCTTTCATCAGGAATTCAGGTCTTAGAAAGGATAAAGGCTTTATGACCAAAAAGAAAGCTGACACTACTAGTTCATTATAATTACTTTTGGACTACACTGCTTACTTAATATATGTACAGTGTCTGACCCTTTGAAGGTAGCATGAGATGATGAAAAATTAGAAGTACTGTATATACTGCAGCTGAATGTAGCAGTGGACAGTCAAACACTGTATCTCTGGAGGAAAGCAAATTGGTGGCATTAAATAGCTTGATTCTTTCCTTTAAATCAGCTCACAATCATTATTTCATTTTAATGACTCTTAACATTGATTCAGCTAAATACAGGAACATCCATAAAGTGCATCCTTTTTTGTGACCGAAAGATTTATCTTCATGTAGTTTCATTATCTTTCTCGTTATGGAACATCTATGAAATTTATTAAATGAATCCCAAAAGGAAACAATTTAATATAAATTGTATGGAGTCACAGCTGATTAAAAACATTCTGTGCGACTAAATACTAGGATCTTTTAAGCAAACTGTGAGCTTGACCCACAGATACCATACCCACAACCTGTACACAGTCCTCATTAGTGAAAGAGTTAAACATCTTTCTTCACTTGGTATTTTCCTTCCCTGCTTTATCTGGTTTCTCTGTACCCTCCTGCATCTCTGTGTGCTGATCCGTGTATCATATTTTTGATTCATCGTCTCTGCGGCCTGTCAGCTTAGTTAAGAGATTTCCAAATCTTGCAGCCTGTGCTGACAGGGGGCAGCTGCCAACAGTCCCCTGATCCTTCCCCAAGGAACACTGCTGAGATTTAATTTTCAGTCAAAGGGTGCAGTCTGAAATCCATGTCAGGTCCCCTAAGTCATCTCAGAACCCAGATAGGACCCATGTCTGGGGGATTATATTTCAGCACACTCCACTCTTCCAAGATTCCTTGGGAGTTCAACTGCTGTCATATACCTGATTTGAACTACATTCCCTTTTCATCTCTTCCACAGAAATGAACACCAGTATATGTTACAATAATTGAAAGCAATGAATTGTAAATCTCTATTCATTTTAAAGCCACATAGACTTGGACTCGATGTTGTCCAGCAGAAAGCAGCATGAGATTTGGAAAGAAATAGATAATCTGCTCAGGAAGGAGCCAAGTTTGACTCCAGCAGTCTGTGGTGTATAGCACCTCCTTCAGAAACTGTCCATAGTCCCTTCAACAATAATTATGGGCCAAAATGCAGATTGTCCAAGATTTGATCAGTTCTGAAGTGAGAAAGTGTTAAGGCAAGGTGGCACGAAAGAGTTCAGGGGAGAATTAATGTACCTGAAAGATACCATTAATTTTAACCTCGAATTGGTTCTGTCTGGCCAAGTGTAGCCATTTGGATGGGAACTTGGATATCCAATTCTGCATATCTGTATGAAGTAATGGAAAGAATAAAAGCCTGTCAGGAGGTGAATATTGACTGGCAAAAATACATGTTGATAAAGCATCTAAACTTAAAAACTGAGTTCCAATCGGTCCATCTGACATCATTAAACTAGTAATAAACAATGAATTACTCTGGCTTTTGTTTCTGTCCATTCCTGCATTTTAAGACATCTTGTCTTATAGGTCTGAAAACCTCAGGAGATTTCACTACTGGTCTCACTGCTTTCCACTGAGAATTTGTGGCTTGGTTGTCATGGAGACATCGTATTTCTCCAAGAATTGCTCATATTGATCCGTGGACAGGCGTAAATGGCCAGGCGAATGTGAGGAGTAAAGGGGGTTGGGCAGTACTAGAAAATGACCAGAGGTTATGGGTCGGAAATAAGCTCATAGCAAACACTTAGGTAAAGAGAAAGAAACAGTTTCATTTTGTTTCAGGATTTCGTTTTTGCACTTTATGCCATTGTCTTCTTTCACTATAGACTGAAAGAAACTTGTTAGTCACTTGTCATGTCAGATCTTTGGTGCTTGTCCTGACACAGCTGTCAGCCTTCCAGCTCTGTGCAGTTCAGGGACACACAACAAAGAGCCGGGAACATGAATTATTTATTGCTCCTTGTGCGGATGAAATTCTGTGATAAGAAATTAAGACACTTCTGACAGAAGTGCTTGTTTGAAAGGAAAGATTTGGTAACACAATACATTTACTTAAAGCTTAACATTTACTTTTAGTAGCAAACATTGAAACAATAATATGACATTCAGTTGGCTATGATTTTCTCAGTTGCTTTGACTTTGAATCATGGAACCTGAGAATGCCTGGGAGGTCAGCATTTGGTTTGGTGAAACCTGTGACTTTAGAATCTCTCTTACACATATTCAAAGTCTGGACAAACTTAAAAACTTCATTTATAAGTTTCTTTTAATAAATCCATATATATCTTTTTCAGAGTCTCTTGTACTTCACTTACAAGATGTTGTCACAGGTGCAAAAGGGTGTTAAGAAATATATTTATTTTATTATCTCTTTTGATGAGGAAAAGGTGAAAATATGACAGTATACCTACAAGGAATTCCAACTATTCGTGGAAAGGGTTCTCTATTACAACTTCAACCAGAATCAGGACAGCTGTAGAGCAGCCATCACACTTCTGCCTGTGTTTTGTGGTTTTCAGTGGTGAAAGGTGCAGTCTCCACCCTTGACATTAGACTGAGCTTTATTTTCGATGTGATCTTCATTTTCTAAAGTCACATAAAGCTTACTCTTTTTACTTTCACATTTTCTGTGTGTCTGCACATGTTCTCACTGCTCTGGATGTGGGTCTCCAGCAATTGTAGAAAAGGCATATGCTCAGATGAATAGCAGGAATCCATTTGACTAGCCAAGACACCAATCTAAGATTTGCCTGTGATTTTTTGTGTTTAGTGTGTGATCTGAACTACTCTCAGATAGGTAATGAAACCCCTCAACCTGCACTTTTCTCTTGGATAATTCACAGTAAATACTTTTCACGTGTGATGGACACAGGTAAATATCAGACTGCAGTTTCTTGTCTAAGTGAAATGGATTTTAGTTGCTCCCCTCATGTGCCTACAGGCTGCCATTATCTGTGATAGTGGCTCATGTCTATTGTAGCCCCCACACAGAGGAGATGCTGGGCTTCTCTCCCAGATGCCTAATAGTGGGTTTATCACTGCCATTTTTCCCCACATGCTGAGGACTACTTCTGTTTGACATGCAAAGCCTTGGCTTTTCAAACTCGTCTCTCCTCTGGCCTTGAACATAATAATCAGATAAGAATTACAACAGCTTTTTGTAGAACTTGGCTTTTAATCATATCAACCCCCCATAAAGAATTCACTATCCCTTAGAGTGCTTCTTTATATAAATAAATATTCCCAGCAGTTTACTATTTTATCAGGCAAATTTTTCTCATTTAAGGAAACTGAGAAAGAGGCTGAAAGTCAGGGTACATGGATGTGTAAGAGGCTTCTAGGTCTGAGCTATTCACCTGAGTTTTCTTGTACAAACAATGGTGGAAAATGTACACTCCCAGAGACAGATCATCTTGTCCAAAGGGAGTTGCTTGAGATGGGTTTTAAGGGGATCGAAAATGCTCTGAATTTTGTCAGTCAAAATCTAAGAGGATTGTAGCAGGACTAGACACAACTTGAGGTGTCTTAGCTTTCATATGTGGTGCAGTCCCACCCAGGAGGATTCTGCAAGTGCAGCTCTTCTGAAAAAGAGAAATGGGTTTGAGTTGAAGTCGCATGAAACAATGTAGACACAGATGCCCCTTCCCCTTTATTTCCCACAGCAGAGATTTTTGCAGTAGAGTAGAAAATAGGCTATTAGTTCACTTGGTAATAGGGGGCAAATAACCCTCCCCAATGGAAGATTGAATGGGAAGCTGTAGATGGAAAGTATAGAGTGTTTTCTATCGTTTGGATAGAAACCAGGTAAATGGTAAAACCCCCATATGCTTCTGGCCTTCAGTAGCCAGGCAGTCTCTGCCTGAGTCAGCTGGTCCCTTCTGCAGCTCATGATCTCTCCCACCCCTTCGTTCCAAAAACATTGCACATGTTAAATTTTTCCCTCTTCAATTTTTTCACTTTTCAGGACGGAATGTAATTCTGGGTGCATAACAGATAATAGGGAAAATCTGAGCAGTTTTTGCAGCCTTGCTTAATTGCTTTTCCTGGATAGACCTTGGCATAAAGATGAGTAGGATCTCTGAATTTCCCTGAAACCCAATCTGTGAGAGGCAGAACTGCAGCAAATAGAAATGAAAATGTATGAAGAACAGCAGATTCTTATTAGCCACAATGTGCCTAAAAATACAGCACTAAAAGTGTGACTGTGTTGTTATCAGGCAAGTTATAATTATTGAATAATCACTTACCAGCTCCAAGTTCCATTCACTGAAGAGTGTTATTTAAATCAGCACTGTGTCACCTCTGTGGCTGTTGATCAGAACACAGGCAGAATGTAAAAGCAAATATTCTGTAAGTTTTCAAGTACAAAGTGCCCTAGAAAAGCGTGGTGTTCTTTTTGTGTGTTTCTAATGCAAGCAATATTTAAAATTCAAGTTGTAAATATTACCATACAGCAAATAGGAAGAAATCATGAAGGTAAAAACTGAAAATTGAGAGTGCTTTTCTGTGGAATTCTAAAAAGCCCCAACAGGATTAAAATATAATGCCTTATGAACAGAACTTCTTTTTACTTCTGTTTACAGCTATTATAGAATTATTTCTGCTGAAGGAAAATACATCTAATTTGGCAATTATATTTACTGAAAAAACATAAACACCCTATTAATTTAATACAGAAATTATCTTTCTGACAATCCACTGGAGCATTTTCCTTTAAATCAAAAAAGGAAGAAGCAGAAGACTGTTCAGGAGAAGAGTTTTGAGGAATGCCATACATTCTCTTGAGCTGTTTTGGGTTCCGTATTGCTTCCTATTATAATGTTATCAGTCTTCTGGAGGTGGATTTGTGATCTTTTTAACACTAGCATGAGGGTGAAAATTTTTATTCCATTACAAAAATTGTAACGTTTGCTACTCTATGAAAAGGTTGTAAAATAAGTTACATTTTAGCAAAAAAGTCTTTGCTGTTACTTCAAATTGTAAAGTTGTTAAGCCAGATGAATTCTTTTGTTTTCCAGATGACACGAAGACACATCCCTGGATATCTAAAGTGTGCTCCTGTAAGGTGTGTTAGAAAAACCTATTTAGCTGAAAGAAGATGTACAAGGACAGCCATGAAACAGGACATATGTGGCATGGACATGAAATGGCTTCTTGTATTTATTATGGTACACTTTTAACAGTTCATTTTCAGAAGAAATACCTTCCATAAGATCGACTTCTTTTGGCTGAGTTATTGGCTTCAATTCACACTTCCCTCACTAATAGATTTAAATGTATTTAGCTACATCTGGATAGTTTTAACATAGAAAATATCAGCTCTTCATTTTTAGATGTTTTTCATTTATTTATGCAGTGATCCCAAATCTTACAACTTTGATTGACCATTAAACAGTTGCATCAATTTTAGTGTTGTTTTACATACGTCAAATTTAAACTTTTCTCTCTCCTTGCTTCTGACTTTTATTACCAATAGCATTTTAGCACTGAGCAAAACCAAATGCATTTCAAATAATCAGAAAATCTGCTTGTATTTAAAGGAAAAAAAATGCACATTTTGAATGAAACGTGGAATATTTAGAAATAACTAAAATACAAAGAATGGTCTGTGCACAGGAGAGGGTGGGAAATAGATAACAAATCTGGTCATGTCTAGGATGTAAATTTTCCTGTTATATAAGTACTGCCATCACCATCATCTGTAGAAATGTACTGCCAATATGAAGTTGAAGAAGCCCATTGGAGTCCTTTTTTGAAATGATACACTTCATTGAACATCTATTTGTGCTCATTGGGAAAAGCAGCTATACATTTTTTTTTCTTTAAAAAAAAAAATATCATTATGTTTGTAGAATATGTGCAGCTGATTAGATTCATTTATCACCTCACATTCTGGGGGATTTAGGCTGTTTGACAAATAGTGGCCATTCAGAGCAGCAAGTTCACTTTCTGTGTTACCAGTAGTTGGAGAGTTAATGGAGTGGAAGGGACTTGAGGATGTGACTTTCTGGATCTGTACCTTATGGTGGAAATCCTGGTCTGATGTTACCCTTTCTAGTTGTCACTTTAGCCATAAGTTGCCTTTACTGTAAGGGTGGAGATTCCTTCAGTGTGAAATATTCTCTGGTAATGAATCCCTTCCTTCCTTGTGTGGAAAGGTCACAGCTGTAGAAGTGATAAAACCAGGTTTCTGTTGCCACACTATGGCCTGAATTTGGTTCAACATGATACAGACACAAAAACTTCTTTCTTCTGCTTTCTTCTGTCCCAGGAGCCCATGTCCCTAAGTGCAGAGTATGGCAGTGAGGCCTTCAGAAACACCAGGTGGAAGGGTCTTGTGAGAAGCAATATCTCAGTTTTTATTCAGTTAAAGAATTTGTCATGAATATTGGCTGCAATCCAGAGAAGATAAAGATATTTAATGTTATTTTTCTTTAACAGCAAATACCATGTAGAAAAGTGGCATCTTTTAACAGAAAAGTCGTCGGTTTTCACACATTTGGCATTTTTTCAGAAACAACTTTCCTTATTCTTAGAAGGTATTTTCCTCTGTAAAACGTATCTTTTGTTCATACGAGGTTGTATTTGAATTATGGTGACTAAACAGAATGTGGAGTGCTAGGGCTTCATTCTTGCACTTCTTGTGATGGATGTGTGGAATAATATAATTGATGTATCTATGCTTGTACAACACAACTGAGAGCAGAACGTCTTCAGCTGACATTTCTCCTCCTCTTAACTTTTATGGCTAAATCAGAGTTGCAAACATCTAGAAGGTAAAAATAAAATTGCAAATATATCTGCAGGAACTAAGTAACCCTTCAAGAACTTTGCAGACAGTAGAACAAATGACAAAAGATGCACCTGGCTCTCTCCTTTGCTCCACATCTGTGTGAGCAGCCACATCCAGTTTGTTGCAGCAGGTCTTCCATTGGCACTGAAAAGTCCCTTCTCAACAAGAGTCACTGCTCTGCAGCAGCATCTGCTCGCTTGGGCCAGCTCTGCTCCTAGTGCCAAGGCAACAAATCTTTTTAAAACTCTTTCAGTAGATAGCTTAAAAACGGATGTGTTCAAAGAGGTCTCATAGCTCAAGGAACTGGCGTTGTCCGTAACACCCAGGACGGCTGTAGTAGCAATTACATTTGTGCAACACAATATTTGATTGCTTGTCTTTAATTCTGCAAAGCAGTGCACATCAGCAGCCTGCCAATAAAGCCAGCCCTCTGGAATGGCTTGTGGGGAGGTGATTGGTGTTTGGCACATGCTTATGCGTGCTTTGTGCTAATTACAATTGCAGTATGAGTAAGGTAAGGCAGGAACTTTTTTTATTAGGTACATTTATTTCCCAGTAAAGCAAATATATTTCCCGTGTCTTCTGGATGTCTTTCAAACAACCAACTTTATAATGTGTGCTCACCATGAACTCTCACTTAGAGAAATCTTCTTGCAACAAAGTGACAATTTCAGAGCTGAATACAAAACCACGTTTGAACCTCCTGCAATAGTTTCTAAGCTGAAGTGAAGGAACCTTTCCATACTACTGTGGTCTGATGTACCCCTGCTTATGGAGATTGATTTTACAACGAGGTTGCAAGGTAATTAGGAATACATTTTTCTGTTGTGTCACACTGAAGGAATCCTGCCAAAAAGAGTAATATGCTAGTATTTTAGAGTAGTTTATAAATTTTAGATATAGGGTAAAAAATTCCTGAATACCTCAACTGCTTAAGGAGTGTGGTGTTTTGGGTTGGGTTGGGTTTTTTTCCATCCAGAAGTCACGGAGTCCAATGGCCTGGATGGCTCAAGCTCTGGTTTCACAGGGGAACTTCTCCCTGCTCCTGCCACATCCTTTTCTGCCTCCTCCTTTGCACTGGTGCTTGTGTGACCAGGCTGTGGCAAGACAAGCCCTGGCCTCAGTGTGAAGAGCAGAGGAGGAACAGGCAATTCAGGGTGGAAATGTGGGACAGTCCACACACACATCAGCATGAAATTGGAGGTTTAGGGTGCTGTATGCAGGGATTTTTCTGGATCTTTCAGCTTTCAAATCCTGTAGGGATTTTTTCCATTATGTGCATAATTCATTGTATTATTAAAAAAAAAATCAAAAGGCCCTTACTGATTTAGTATTAGCTCAAGCTAAAACTCATTGACATCTCTTTTATTTGAGGGATTTTGAGTTTTCCAAATAATTCATACTTGTTAAATGGTCACTGACTTATATTCCTCCCTAAAGTTTGAACTGTTCATTTACGGTTCCAAATCCAAGCATTATGTTTTGAAATCTCTGGTGCCATTTACATATTTTAAATTTGATCACTGTAATAAACTGCTTCCATTTATGGGTTGTATTTTGTTGAGTAATGCCCTTCCCCAATCCAATGAAACCTTTCTGAAGGCAAGTTGGCATGGGACTTGAAATATATATATGGGATTCCGTGTCCCTTTGAAATAAAGACACACTCTAACAAAACCACTGTGCAGCAGGGCTACGAGACAACATCAGCAATCTAGCAAGGGAAAGGATTTTGCAAGTCTGACTGAGCTGAAGTGCTGAAAATTCAGAAAAGAATGGGACAGGTTCAGTCAGCAGCATTGCCTCTCTCTCCAGGATTTTACTCCTTTTGGAAGAGCGTGTTCTCTGAAGGCAGACTGGGGCAGCAAACTCCAGCACAGCTCCAAAGTCATTGTGCCAGTGCTGAATGGCATCACATGCACATTCCTGATGGGGGATCTGGGATGACAAAGTCCTGCTTCTCGTGATGGATGTTTCTGCTGGATTTTGCAGGCCATTCTTCTTGCTTGAGGAAAGGATGCAGAGGAATTTCAAGGGCTGGTCTTCCCCTTTTTCCTTCCTCATAGGACACTCAGTCTGAGCTGCTAGGCAAAGCTCTGAGCATTATTATTAGCATTTGAGTTATCATTTTAATTCATAGATCCCCAAAGTGAAAATTCATCACTCTTATTTTTGAAGAAGTAATTCTGAACCTGGAGGCAACATAAAATAACCCAAGACTGTCTCATTGGTGTCCACGGGAAGTTTTTTTCCTGAATGACACCTGCTGGAAGGTCTCAGCTGTGTGGGTCACATCCAGACTGCAGTCCGTGTCTTCTGATGAATCTGAGTGTCCTGGACATGGCGTGGTCAGAAAGTACAAATTAAATCAAGGTTTTAAGGTGAAGCAGTGAGAGTTGCTAAACAATATTGAAAATTATGGAACGTAGCAAACATCTGCAGAGCTTTTTAGAGTGGGCTGTGCATTTGACAAAAATTTTTACACAGTACAAATTTAATTACACTTATCTTTTCCTTTCATGTAATTCTAGAAGACCTAACTTGAAAATACAACATTTTGCAAACTGAATTTACATTCTGTCTTGTGAATATAGCAATAAAAACTGTCTTTATTCCTCTGTAATACTCTTAATAAGACAGCAATGAAAAATAGCATCACCAGAGTAAGTAGTATATGTAAGTAGTATATGTTGTTTCATTAAGTACATTACTCCCTCCAGTTTTACAGCAATAGGGAGGTTTTTTCTGAGATTTTTTGTTTTTTCTTCTTTAGCATCTGAAAGCATAATACTCATCAAAAAAATATTAACAATAGCCAACGCTAATAAAATAGTAATATTTTCCTTATTTATTCTCAAATTTTATCTAAATAATAAGTAATCTTTTTGATAATAAGGACCTGGGGAATTTGTACCCTAAATCATTATAAATTTTCACCAGAAACTCAGGTTCATAAAAGATTTCATTTCAGAACTTTATTTTCTATAATCACCCTGACCTGCAGACTTACAGCTCTGCCCAGTAAATGTAACATACCTATTTTTGTTGTTTGTTTTGGTTTATAGTCTTCCTGCCATGTAGATGGCAGCAGCACTCAAGCCTTGAAATTCACTCCAGCTTTTTCTTGAGTTTATCTGAAAAACCCACGTTTAAGATTATTTTTGCCGAGAATGAACTGAAAGCATGATTGCTTTAAAGATGGATATCAGTTCAGTAATGTGCACCTCTGAAGAAGCTTTTAACATCATAATACAAGTGTTTAAAAGAGAATAAGTCATATCTCTCTGCATTGATACAGTTGCCACTATTTGTTTTTTTGTACATTTTAACATATTGTTTTCTGTAAATTAATTTGCTGGTGTTCTTTTTATTGCATTAGTTTGCAAGACGCACGGGATGTTTCTGAAAGTTCAGAATTGTTAAGATTTACAAAGACAGTCCCCATGTGTAATTCCTTGCAGAATGAGAAGCAGCCAGCAGGTGCTTGGGCAGGAAAGCGTTGGCTTGGGGCGTCCTTGTTGATGAGACAAAGAGGAAGGACAGAGAAAGGTAGTGGGATACAGTGTGGAATTCTGTGCTATGGACTCACTAATAACAGTGCTTTATAGAAAATGTCATGAATTATCCTGGAAATAACATTTTGAAGGTCCAAATATTTTTGCCTTGGCATAGTGTGGAATTGTCTGCACTGACATTTACTTTGGCTAAGAAGTTGAGAGAGATTTTGAAAGAGAAGCCACAAAAGTGAGACCCAGAATCGAAGCTGTTCACCAACCTTAGTCTCTGCAGGATCAGCTGAAACCTCAGGAAGACTTTGTGGGATCATCTTCAGGCCCTCAGAGGTAAAAGCAGGTGTCACACATGTGACTGTGCACAGAGGGAAAAACTAGCACAAAAAAGCACAATGATGGTAGTGCCTTGAACTAGAAAATACTGTTTAAATGCTGGAGGCAAACAGTCGTGTTTTAGTAAACTGACAGAAAAAGTAGATCAACACTAGCTCCCTCAGTGCTTTTAACCAGTAGCAGCTGAAGTAAGAGGGAGATTAAATATCTGATGGACAGCATTTCTCATTCCATAGGATCCCGTCTGAGGATGCATTTGGTGGAGGTTTAATCTACACTGAGTATGGAATCAGCTGAGGGAACAGGGAAAGTGGGCAGACTGTAGCACTTAAACCCTTGTCATCCAACTGCCACAGCTGCAGTTTTGGACAGCTCTCCACTCCTCTGTTCCTCCTATTCCTATATATTCTCTATTCCTCTGTTCTAGCCCTCTGCAGAAGCTGGGAGAGAAGCAGGAACCAATATTTCTCTGATCCCTTGCTGTGTGGTGTGAAGCAGAAACCCTTGGCCCAGTATATCATCCAGTCACTAGTCAGGCAGATGATCTGAAGAGGACAGATTCACACTGGAGGGTTTGTCACAACTCCAAGCTGGACCCAGTGGATGGTCTGTGACCAAACAGGCTCCTAATGCCTGATGGAGCCATGACCAAAAACGCATTGCAGATGTCATGACACTTGCCCTGGAGTGACAGCATTCCTTCTTAAGTACTGCTTCAGGTTAAGGACTTCCAAAGGGACAGTATGGCTTCTTGGCTGATAGAATTTGTAACAGGAAAAGCAGATTCAGCAGTGATGAGAAAAGAGCAGCAACAGGATTTGTGTTGTGTCCAAGCACTGGGACAGACAGCCTTTGTCTGTCCTACACATTGTTGAGTACAATGTGTTGGACATTGGTCATGGGAGAAGCACTTCCCTTCTTAAATGCCTTCCAGACTAAGGCATGCCAAGCACAAACATATTTTATCTGCTTATAGTATATGTTTTGGAGATTTGATGGATTTTGCTTCTCACTTCATAGCATCCATTAAATTGGTCTTAGATTCCATTCCAGTGAGCAAATATTTGTCAGAAAACTGCTTCAAGGTCTCCCAAATCCACTTCTTTTTCTTTTTTTTGCTTTTCATAATTATCCCACTGCTTAATAAGAGATATCTTTGCACCTTTACTCTATCTCACTGGTAATAGACTCAATTTAGTTATGGGAGAGTTCTGTGCCTTGCAACCAAATGTGCATTTAAATTCAGAATTCGTATTAGTGCTGATTATTCACAACCTATAAAGAAAATATATTTCAAAAGCTCTTGGAAACTTAAAATAACTATCTCTGTGTTTACATTTTGTCTGTGAAATGGAAATACTTGCAAGGCCCTACCTCACAGAAGTTTTGTAAGGATAGATAAAGGGCTGTGTGGATGGTCATGGCATTCTGTAGGTAAAATACACAACCAAAATTGCATAATACAAATATTGGTAGATTTTCATTATCCATGGCCAAACTTGTCAGGCTGAAGCAGCAAAATCACCTGAGTAATATGATACAGAACTCTGAGAACTTTCAGACATGGCTTTCCTCAGAGATACTTTTGCAGAAGCACCTTGGAGTTTAACTGCTCCTTGGAAACTTGAGATTTGCAGCAATAACATTTCAGGCTTTTAAAGAAGGGTGATGAACAATGTTAATGGATTGGATACTGAGAAAATATCAGAGAAGACATCACAAGTGAAGACTCATTCCAGGCACTCTTTCTTATATTTGTTGCTTTAGTTATACGAAGTGACAGCCCAATGAATCACTGGGTGGTCTTTTGGTCTGACAATTTGGGTATTGTCCAAGCAATTAACAGGCAGGCAGCCAGTTGCAGTGGCTACTGATTAAATTACAGA